ATAAGCAGAATTGCTAACAGAAGTGAGGAAGAAGGAGGCAAAGAGCGTGGAAATTTCGAGAAACCATTGATAAGCAAAGTGGGAGAAAGGGAATGGTGAGCACAGAGAATGGTGGGTAGTTTAGTAATCAAGGATCAGAGAATCAAGGCCTTGCAGATCATGCTAGAACTTTGCTTTTTATCCTAAAAATAAAATGGAAGCCATTGAAGAATTTTGATCAGAGGAGTAACATTTTTTGACTGCTTACTATTTGCCAGGATCTTTACACCGTTATTTCATGCAATACCCACACCTATCTTATAATGCTGGTAGTGTTAATCACACTCATTTTGTAGATGAGGAAACCGAGGTGCAGAAAGGTAAAGAAACAAATTACAGCTCTACTAAGTTTCAGAACCAGGTTTCAATACAGCAATTTAATACCATAGGTGGCTCTCTTAAACTTTGAACTATACTGCCTTTAACTTTGATAGAAATATTACATAGACTAGAAAGATAGAGGAGGAAGAGAAGATTGAAGTGAGGGAGATCCTAAGAATGGCCACAGAAACAAGGTCAGACACTAGAAATGCTTACTGTGGAAAATGGGTGGGGCTTAGATTGATTGGCTGTGAGTGAGATCAAAAGGAAGCAAGAAAATCAGGGCAACATTCAAGTTCTGACTTGACAACTGCACAGAGAGTGGTCCGTTTTATAGCAACAGGGAGTGCAAGTAGGGGAGCAGATTGAAGGAATAGCAGTGGCAAGGAATGATACATTCTATGGGAAGCATGTGGAGATGGAGTTGCCTGTGGAAATCCAGATGGATGTCTCCAAAAGACATAATGTGAGGACTGGAGGACCAAAGGGTATGGCATAGTAGTAAAGAGAACACTTAGAATTAAATCCAGACCCCTAGCCATGACCACAGTCAATTATTTGAAGTGATGAAGTAGAAATAGTAGAAATAGAGGACTATTGTTATCAACTCTTGCTTTTATTGTTGGCAAAGCACTTAATGTCTTTGAGTTTCAGAATCTTTTTTCTGCAAAATAAAGAGAGTCAGACTGACATTTGACAGGTACCTTTGGGGTTTCTCTTTATATTTTCTTAAAAACTATACGCTGTATTTATTACATAAATCCTATCAGCTGGTAATGTGGAAATTTACATAATTGACCACAAGGGGGAGAACTCTAATTCTGCATTAAATCACTTACTACACTATGAAATAATCTAAAAGTACTTGCTGTATGAATTTGGTGATAAGCTGTCCCATTTCACTTCGTCATGAAAGTTGGGGGAATTCTTTGCTAGAGATAAGTTTAACTGAATTGAAATGCAGTTTTGTGTTGCTAAAGTTATGATAAAGTTACTGAATGTAAGAATCTATTTATATTAAACACTAACTCTCCATAAATGAATCCAGCTGTTTCTTTAATTAAAAAGAAGACGGTAGAATTTTAAAATTCACCCTGAGAGGGTTTTTCCTTCCAAATAACTTTATTTCAGTTATTGGTCAAGAAAATTTTAACCTTCCTGAAAGTCCTTGGTGACGCTGAAACGAGAATAAGATCATTAGCATTATTCTATTGTAAAGATATCCGTATCAAACAAAAAGATCAGAATGGTGCTGGCCACACCATTTAAATGTCACATGTTCTTTGAATGTATATGAGTATATGTTTTACGTGTGTGGTTATGTGAATGTGGAGTGTTGCGTGTTCAGTATTAAAATACCTCGTTTTCTGTTTGGTTTAACTTCTGTACTCCGGTTTTATGTAAAGTTTTATTATAAGGAGACTGTAACACTCATGGTGCTTCCTATGGTTTAATGAGTCACCTTTTGGACTTGATCAAATTAAATTACCCTTGTAAGGTATAAATATGAGTATTTCTGCATTTTATCAATATATCCAAACATACACAGCTAAATGAGTATTGTCCCCTTTAAAGATACAGTATTAGTGAGCTATATTGGACTCTGAATAATGCAGTTGTTACTGAAAACATATTTATGTTTCCCCTTAGAGGCAGTGCCACACTATTTTAATATGTTCAGTGATAGCAGGTCTTCCTTTGATAGTGCAGTATTTAAAAAAAAAATTTCTATGAATGAAGATTGTATAATAAGATCACCAATAAAGTTGGAGTATGTATTATCTGGGGTTCAAAAACCTAGATGTAAATAAAATATTTTAACTCCCTTTGATTTGTAAACCTCCTTAATTTATCTTCCATAAAAAAGTCACAGAATTTTTTCAGCAGTGATGTCACTGAAATAAGCACAAACCCTCATAAGGTGACGACTAGAAAAGGGAATTTATATTTGAATAAACTAATTTTAAAGTCTTCATTCCAATAAATAAACAAATAACCATATAACTAGTTTAATTTACTTAAACTCAGTTTAGGCTTATTTTTTAGTTATTTGCACAGTTGATGCTTCCTGAATACTTTAAATGTAAAATAACAATATACTAAGTAAATTAGTGTTATTATTTAGATATTTTCTCTACTTTCTTCTAAAAATGATCAGATTTTTTTTTTATGATTTTCTTTGGCTAAGTTAATTAATTTTCTATCAGTGTTTCTCACACCAGAAAAGAAAGTATTGCATACTAATAAAAGATACGTGCTAGGTGGTGTGGAGGATGTACGTCTTACTTCTGCTTGTATACACAGGGACTAGCACAGTGCTTGGCCCCTTAGTAAATATTTACTAGTAGATATTTAGAAATTATTAGTTGCATAGATGAATTAGTAAATAAATGATGTGAAATGATATATGTACAATTATTCCTGTTATATATTATTGTTCCAGACTGCTGCATAAACAACCACCCAAAACTTAGTAGCTTAGATCAACAAGTCATTTGTGTTGTTCACAGATCTGCAGTTTAGATGGGCTCAGTGGGAACAGTTCATTTCTGCTTGACTCCTCCACAAAGTGTCAGCTGATCTGACTTGAAATCCAGGGTTGACTGGAAGACTATAGGTTCTGAGATCACCTGAAAAGTTCACTCACTCACTTGTCTAGTGGTGACACTGGATGTTGGCTGGGGCCTCAGCTGTGGATGTCATCTGGAAACCTGCTTGGATTGCTCATAGCATATTGTTTAGTTTCCATTCAAGTGATCAAGACAAAATACATGGCATTTTTATGATCTTGGAGGTCACATTGAATCACTTCTGTTGTACTGTTGGTCGAAGCAGTCACAAAGTTCTGCCTGATTTCAAAAGGAGGCTATTTAGAAGCCACCATGTGATGGGAGGTGTGTTAGTAGGGTCATATGAAAAGCCTTTGGGGATGGGATATATTGCAGTGACCATTTTTGGAAAATATAATGTACCATACTTTCATAGACTCAAATATGTAGTTTTATTTCTGAACTACTTCTATCCACTTTAACTTGAGGAAATATTGCTCTCAAACAAAATTACCCTGCTAAGTGGATTTCATCTGATACAATGAATATTTGCATTTCATTTTCTCCTTCCTGTTTTTGCTCATCTCTGTTCTCTTAAATATATTTATCTGACTTCCCAGACCTCTTCCTCATTTACATTCAAGGCCTAAGACTGAAGCTTTCTCCCTTCCTTCCTTTCTTCTTCCCTTCCTTCCTTTTCTTGTTTTTGGCGGGGGGAGGAGGCCTGGAAAGCATTAACTCTTAAGTCTACTCATTTTGTCACTAAACATTTGTTATTGATGAGTGCCTTTTCACAGTTCAAAGAGTAAATAAGCACAATGCTGAATATTAGGGGGTTTAATATTTACTAAGTTGATAATATGTTTTAAATTATACACTCTCTTAACTGGAAGAATTACTTCTAATGTCCTGTAAAATACACTCTTTCTCTTACTAAATTAAATAAATGGAACTTTAAGTTCAGTTAAAAGTGAAAAATGTCAATCTGTATCTAACTATAAATATAGAAATAGAAATGGTCTTTCCTTAAGTCTGATTCTGATGTGGAACAAATGATGACATTATCTGCATAAGATAAATTTGAGGTGCATACTGAGATGGCTTTTTTCCCCCAAAGAGTTTGAAAATCAAATAAGCAATAAAACAGGAAATCAAAATGATATAACAATATTTCCTCTATTAAATCCAAACTCTATTTCATAGGATATTGAAATAATGTTGGATAAATATCACTGAAGTAGTAAAAACATTAATGTTGTTTAATTACTTAAACAAACTAGAAAATTTTAAGTAATGCAAAAGAGCATTAACCCTGGGTAAAGGAAGGGAGGGACCAACTTGAAATTGGTCATACAGAAATTGCTTATAATTAATTATTTTCTAGGAAGTAAATTGAAAAAATTAACCAATTTGTTTATCTTACATAGACTTACTTAGAAATAGATTTTCCCAGTAAGCAAGGGTCATGTCTCCTCTGTACCCTGACATATCCCTATCACATGGTACTCAATAAATGATTTTGCATGAAAGAATATAATGCTTTCTGACAATGTATTTTCTAGTCATTTCAAAAAGCTGGTGTGTTCTTTAGCTTTATAATAGCCTCAGTATTCTTAATTATATTATCCAGAATATGTGAGCTTTGAAACTATTTTCAAAGTTTAGGTTTAGTTTTCTGAGTTCAGGTATCATACATATAGAGATTACTCCCTTGTTTGTGCTCTTAAAGTCTTTCCTACAGACTGCTACTATAAAAATGATATTTATCATATATCATACATCATATTTACTTTTACATATGCTTGCCTCCAAATTTAGGTTGCAAGCAACTCAAGGGTTGTATTTCCTTCCTAAATTTTGTTCTCCTAGAATACAGTACTCTGTGATGACAGCTGCTGATTGATGGTTGAGAGAATGAATGAGAATCTGAATCAAGTGTCTGTTCTTTTCATCTCCACTTTTCATGAAAAAAATAAATCATTACATAAAAATGTTAGCCTTTGAGAACTTATTATGACCTTATTAAACCCCTTCACCTTTGAAAATAAAGTATTGAACTTAATATCAGACCAGATAAATTTTCAAGTTTAACTCAACATACCCTTTAAGCTTTGTCTATTACCTTTGTGTAGATTGCCATGTTCTATTTCTTTTTACAGAGAAAAGTAACTTTAGAAATATTTTCCTTTTATTTAAGTAGCATAAATTCCTTAAGAGATTTGAACATCATCTCTCTTCATCCTAGAAACGGAAAGTAGCGGGCCACACTACCTCAGAATCCAAGGTAACATGTATGGGTTTATTATACATGTTTATGAAAGTTTTGGGGTCCATGAATTCTGCTGAATTGCATAAGTACTTTATTATTTGTTCTGGGAGGAGTAATTCAGGTGCAACTTGGTGCAAATTATCACCTGGTCCTTTAGTGCCCACTTTGACAGTCTTAAAAAGGTAGAGTGCTAATTTATGAGTTTGGATGAGAAATTCTGTGATGACCTCTTCTAGGGACTGTGACTGTGTCACATCATCGAGATACATGACTGGCACTTTTATTACTGAAACATGCCATTGCATAAAGAGCCTCGTTGGGATATTGTGGGACGTGACTATAATTTTCATTCCTTGGATGAAAAATTCCATTTCATCCTTTTCATGGTTAAGATAGTCTAAAAGAATTTGGTAGAGGGTACTACTGGAGGACTCAAGGATATGCAGAATGGAAGTAGGATATATGAACAATAATCCCGTCACGGCTTCTCCTAGGTGATGTCTCAAAATTGACTGAAACAGTTCTTCATAGTATTCAGCAATATCTTTTTTTTCTATGTTCGCTGTTATCTTGGCCACTAGGAACATCCTATTAAGAAGGAATTTCTTTAGCTGTAGTCTTAGCTTTTCTTCCTGAAAATGTAAGTAATTACTACGTGGAACTTGTGGCATTAGAAGAGATTCCAATGGAAAATTCTTTTTGGTGCTCTTTCGGGTATGGACTGATAAGGACATGATGAGTCCTGTTTATTCCGGTAGATGATTCCAGTTGTAAGCTTCTTACAGTATTTTCATTATGAGGATACCTCTTCAGTGATGGACTCTTATTTTTGTTTCTTCTGACAAAAAAAAAAAGTTTACCCATTTGGTCAAATGATACTGAATAGCAAAATCCCTTCCCAGTGTTATCAATGAACAGTGTCTTTGAAATTAAAGAAAATGTTAAAGCAAGAATCAAATCATAGAGGGTTTTTTTTTTAAGTTGACAATAAAGTAACTAACACATCTTAGGAAAAAACTCCCCAATAAACTGGGGAGTGGGAAGAAGATAGGACTTACTCTAGAATAAGCTCAATCTGTTGTTATTTGGACTGTTATTTTCTTTTTCAATTTATAGTATATTTTTTCTCAGCCCCTATTCTTGAATCATACACGCACACATGCGTGCACACATGCACACACAGAGGAATATATCTGCTGACAGTCAGTGACAGCAGCCTTGACATCACATTAAAGTGTCTTTTCATTTATGTAATGGTGAATACAGATTGTCCTTTATTTGTCAGATTTTTTAAAAAGAATATTTTTAAGATAATTCCCCAATTTCTTTTATAAACTTAACTAGTCAATAAATCTTTTAAAATCTGGGAATCTCTTAACTACTCATTGGCTTATTTAACTTTTACTCAGTACACTAAAAGCTAATAGTATTGCTTGGATAATAGCAGTATACTTTTGAAGTAGCTGCTTTTGTTTTTTTGGTTTGTTTTTTTTTGACTCATATCAATAAACCTCAAAAATGGCTTTTTTTTTTTTTTTGGTTGTTGTTGTTGTAAGGGTCAATTAAAAATTCTGTTATTTTTAAGGCAGTCTTCTTACCAGTCTCCTTCTCTTCCCTGCAGATCAACTTAACATTATTTTCTTTCTTCAGATGCTGCTTCCTTTTACCTGTCCTCCAAGCCCTGCTTGTCCTCCATCACTGTTACAACTGCTAGGGTCTTAGGTGCTCTCAGCTGTCCTGTGTTCTATGCTGGTTTCCATAGTACCCTGGCCAATCAGAATGTCAGTGGTGTTAAAGGGATAGCGTGCACTGGCAGCTCTGATTTCATAATTTAATGTGGATATCTCAGTAGACACCTTGACATCATGGTAGAGGAAGTGAAGGCCTCTTTTCCTGAATGGCTTATTTTTAGCCAGCTGCCTTTGTAAGTCAGATAGATGATGGATGTGAATATCTTCCTAGACATATTCTTTTCTTTTTTCTTCTTGTCCCCCATTTATAGGAGAGAAAGTCAAAGCACGAATTAGTTATGCACCTTGTATACAATTCAAACATGCTCTTGACAGTCTCCCTATCCTGTCTACCCAGGCTAAAGAGGTATTTATGCACTAATTAAATACTGTAAGAACACATACCAGATTCTGTGTAATGGTGATTCTTGTTATAAGAAAGTTCTTCTATAGGGTTCAGTTTTCTTAATGTAAATTTAAATTACTTTTTGCGATAAAAATTATTAACGTATCTTACAACTGCATTCACATAAGCTCTACACTATAATTTTAAAACAAGGTTAGAAAACACCCTACTCAAAAAAATTAAACTTTAAAGTATGTTTTCCACCTTTTAGATTTGTGTTATCCAAACTAATGATCTGGTTTTAATAATATGTAGTGATTCATTATCCCAGAAATTGGAGGGTTAGAGGTGACTTAATAATTCCTTAATTGTGTGGTACACAAAAAACGGCCGTAATTCCTCACTGCAGTTCACTTCATCACTTGCTGAAACAAAAGTCTTTCCCAAGGTGCATAGAAACTTGTCATTGCCCAGTGTATTGTTCTCGCCTGCATTCCTGTTGCTTTGCAGAATGTAATTATGTTGACAACCTCCTTGATAGCTTTCTATACTTCCTTGGTTTTTATGATGCTGTACTTTTCTAAATGTATCCCCTGATCTCTGTTTGTGGCCAAGCCCAGTTCCTTCTCACACGCAACTCTGGGCAGTGCCGAGGCTCTGCACTCATCATGCAGTTACTCTCTCACTTTACCTCCTTGCCCAATTAGCTTAGCACCATCCATGTTTCTATTTTGTGAGATCAGGTGGCTGGTCCTTATGCCACTCTAGTCTCCAAACAGAATGATTACCATTGCTGATTGACTGTGGAGTCTTTCCTCTTGAGCTCAACTGTGGATATGGACTCCTTCTCAGTCTGACGCTCAGGGCAGATACAACTAGTTTGCTGAGGTTGACAAAGAAGAAAAAAAACTGAGTTCCCATCCCAGTATTTTTTCTATACAGAAGACTCCCAACTTGTAATCTTATTTACACTCCTTTCCTTGGATGTCCCTCTAGCCTTTGAATTTTAAAATGCCAACATTTAAACAATTATTTTCTTTATATTTTCCTTTACAAATACCCCAATCTGTGACTCAGTTAACATTTTTTCTCTTGTCTCCTAGGCCAACATCCTTGGTCTTATCTATTCATGTTTCCTTAAAGTTACTCCCAACTTTATTCTTTTTTTCCCTTTTTTATTGTATTATAGTCAGTTTACAATGATATGTCAATTTCCAGTGTACAGCATAATGTTTCAGTCATACATATATATACATATATTCCTTTCATCATTGGTTACTCTAAGATACTGAATATAGTTCCCTGTGCTATACAGTATGAATTTGTTGTTGATCTATTTTATGTATAGTAGTATCTGCACATCTCAATTTCCTAGTTTATCCCTGCCCACCCCTTTTTCCCCCAGTAACCATAAGTTTGTTTTCTACGTTTGTGAGTCTGTTTCTGTTTTGTTAATAAGTTCATTTGTGCCATTTTTTTAGATTCCACATAAAAGGGATATCATATGGTATTTTACTTTCTCTTTCTGGCTTACTTGACTTAGTATGACAATCTCCAGGGCCATCCATGTTGCTGCAAATAGCATTATTTTATTCTTTTTATAGCTGAGTAGTATTACATTATATAAATATACCACAGCTTCTTTATCCAGTCATCTGTTGATGGACATTTATGTTATTTCCATGTCTTGGCTATTGTAAATAGTGTTGCTATGAACATTGGGGTGCATGTATCTTTTAGAATTAGAGCTTTCTCCAGATATGTGCCCAAGAGTGGGATTGCTGGATCATATAGTAAGTCTGTTTTTAAAAGAATCCTGTTTTCCATAACGGCTGCATCAAACCACATCCCCATTAACAGTGTGAAAAGGTTCCCTTTTCTCTACACCCTCTCCAACATTTATCATTTGTGGACTCTTAAATGATGGCCACTCTGACTGGTGTGAGGTGATACCTCATTGTAGTTTTGATTTGCATTTCTCTAATGGTGATATTGAGCATTTTTTCATGTGCCTATTGGCCATTTTTATGTCTTCATTGGAGAAATGCTTGTTTATGTCTTCTGTTCATTTTTGGATTGGAATTTTTGTTTTTATTAGTAAGTTGAATGAGCTATTTGTATATTCTGGAAATAAAGCCCTTGTCAGTCTCATTGTTTGCAAATATTTTTCCCATTCTGTAGGTTGTCTTTTTTGCTTTGTTTATGGTTTCCTTTGCTGTTCAAAAGCTTGTAAGTTTAATCATGTCCCATTTGTTTACTTTTGGTTTTAGTTCTGTTGCCTGGGTAGAGTGCCCTAGGAGAACATGGCTAAAATTTATGTCACAGAATGTTTTGCCTAGGTTTTCCTCTAGGAGGTTTATACTGTCTGTCTTACGTTTAAGTCTTTAAGCCATTTTGAGTTTATTTTTGTGTATGGTATGAGGGAGTGTTCCAACTTCATTGATTTACATGTGGCTGTCCAGCTTTCCCAATACCTTTTGCTGAAGAGACTGTCTTTTCTTTGTTGTATATCTTGCCTCCTTTGTCAAAGAGTAATTGGCCATAGGTGTATGAGTTTATTTCTGGGCTCTCTATTCTGTTCCATTGATCCATAAGTCTGTTTTTGTGCCAATTCCATGCTGTTTTGATTACTGTAGTTCTGTAGTATTATCTGAAGTTTGGGAGGGTTATTCCTCTGGCTTTGTTATTTTTCTTCAGCATTGCTTTGGTAAATTCTGTTTTTTTGTGATTCCATATACATTTTAGGATTATTTGTTCCACCCCCCAACTTTATTCTATAGTAAGACTTTTTATTCACTTTGAAATGTATCTTGATTTCCACTACCTCCTTCATAATAAGAATAGATTATATTTAGTTTATGATTAGTCTTTTATCCTCAGCATTTTTCTAGATTTCAGTTATATTTGGATTATAATGAGTCTTGTACTCAATATTTTTCTAGATTTTCCTGCCTCACCTATTCAGCTAAGAGCATGAAACTGTAAGACCTGATGATATGTCTGCTTCATAAAGTTCAGAAGATACTAATTTTACAAAGTCTTCCCTATTTACTTCCCTTCTGTAGAATGTTAGGAGAGGGAGCTTCTGCCTTTATCAGGACCAGAGAGATTTCTGGCACTCACTTCTAATCCACAATGATGGATTATAACAGAAAATGGGGACATGCAACTTCAGGGTTTATGACCTAACATGAACACTGATCAGTGTCAGTGGGAGAATTTATAGGGAATTGCTCTCTAGAAGTCCCTTTTGAACACACAAACTTAAATGAACCTTTTATACATAAGTTAAGATTCTTCCTCTTCATGACATCATTCTTAACTAAAACACAATTTCTTTATTTTTTTTGTCCCTGTAAAAAGGAGCCCAGTTGTGATTTTTCTCCCTATGTGTGTTTTTTGTTTCTTTGATATATCTTGGTTCTTCCAATATAAACCTAATAAAAATGATAATCTTTTATCATTCTAGTTTCACATATAAACCATGTAAAATATCAGTAAGCCATTCTTTCTTCAAAAGAGTGA